CAGGTTTTGTTAGCCGGCGTCTGGGGACGAGACCTTGGAAGATTTAGAGAGCGAGGTTCAGAAATTGTTAGAAAGTACGCAGCCCCTGACAGTGCCGCTTTCGCACAGGAAAGTCGATAAATGGTGGCCCAGAGTTGGGTTCATTTGTCCATATCCGGTTTTCCTTACCTGATGTATAGGAAGAGTGTTACAGAACGGGCTGCCTTTCGGATTCTCGTCTGCTCCGAATGCACAGGCTGGATACTAGTGCAGTATTTTTCTCTTTGTTTTGAAATTGTTCGGGAAAAGATTCAGAGCGAGATTTGGAGATCCCAGAGTAGTGGCCCAGAGTCGCAGTGTGACTGGGAGCCGGGCCCTTGGGAGCTGGGCACGCCGGACACGCAGGTCCCAGTGTTCCGGGGCTGTTTCTCTGTTGGGGAGAAGCGAAGTGTGGCCTAACCTGTGCTCCTTTGTGTGTGTATGTGTGTTTTTGCCCCAGTCTTTATTGATAGAAAATCTGCTTTTCAGTTTATCAACCACCGAAGGGCGGCGGCGAAGATTACTTATTGATTTTTAATATAGTGCCACCTGTATAAATTAGTTGTGTTTATATAATCATTAGTACTGTATGTATTTTTAGGTTTTTTTACTACATTAGTTGTGAGGCAGCACTGTATTTAAAACAGCATATTATTTGTAGTTGATCATTTGCTGCTTCAGTTAGTATCTGCACAGTGCCTTTAAAAATACCCCAGTGAAAAGAACTTTACACATTTAAGTCCTTTAAGTTATGCGTGACATTACTGAGGATAATAAGGGTAATTTAAGATTGACTAAAATAAAACTAGTGGTGATCTTTGAAGTCATTAGCACTAATACCTGAGAAAATAAGCATCACACTTGTATAATAAACAGTGGGAGAGAGAAGGAAGGTAAACCTAGTGTATTTAACAGTTTCAATTATGACACGAATATGCATTATTTTGTAGAACGAATCGAATGTGAAAAGGTGACACGCTGCCGCCTTGCACCCTAGTACTTCAGTTTACCCTCTCCTGAGCTCTCTCGGGCACCATCCTGGTTAATCTTTGGTTAATTGGTATGGTTGGTTGTGCCGGGACCTCGTTGGTGACTGGCTTGACTGTAATTCAGCCATTTTCCTATTACTTTCATAGAGTTAATATTCTGCAGTTTCTTTTCCCATTTGATTTGTTTTACGTTTAAACTGAACTGCCAAATGCTGAGAGCTGTAAGCCCCTCATCTTGTTGACAGTGTAGGGCTTTTCAAACCGTGTAATGTGCCTGGGAATCACCTGCACTAACACCAGGCCTCCAGGTCAGAAGGATGCTGTTCTGGCCAGACAGCAAACCACTGCTGTGCAAAGAAATATAACATACCACTGTATAATTTAAAGTTGCTAGCATCTGCTGGATTTGCTGGTGAACACCTGCAATCCCAGCACTCAGGAGGGTGAAGCAGGAGAATTTCAGCCAGTTTGAGGCCAGCTTTGGCTACATAGGGAGTTGAAGGCCAGACTGTAATACATAGGGAGACCCTGTCTCAAAACAAACCCAAAACAGTTTCTAGTACTCATGTTGTAAAAAGCAAGTGAAAAAAGTCAAGTGAAATAAGTCAAGTGAAATAAATACATTCATTTAAGTCAGTATGTCCAAATCATGTTAGCATGTAATCAACATGAAAATTTCGTGGGGTTTTTTTGGACAGACTTTTTGAAATCTCATGTACATTTTACACTTAAGCACATCTGTTTTCACTAACGTTTACAATTAGTGACATTTGGCTTGTGGCTACTGTTTTGAACAATAGTTCTGACGTATGAAATCAGGACAAGTTCTGTTCTCAGTGTGTTTTCAAATTAGCCCCATCAGCGACTCTGAGGGAACTTGTTAGAAATGCGTATTTTGGGGTAGCACATTATACCTAGTGTCATTTGATTATTTAGGGCCACGACCCAGTACTCTGGTTTAAAAGTTGCTTACCGTATGACTATGGAATGTATATTGGATAGGTTCCTGGAACAGAGAAAGGACAGTGGGGGAAAACTAAGGAAATATGAACAAAGTGGGGCATTACTATGTGTCAGTATTGGTTCATTTGCCCTAACAAATATAAAATGAAAGTGCTTAATAGGGGAACCTTAAGTATATGGGAACTGTTTACTATCTGTGCAGTAATTCTATAAATCTAAAACTCTTCTAGAAGCCAGGCATGTGGGCAGATGCTTGTATTCCCAGCACATAGAAGGCTGAGGCAGGAGGGTTTTGAGTTCAAGGCCAGCCTGGGCAACATAGCAGATTTAAGACTGGACCCCAGCCGGGTGTACTGGTGCATGTCTGTAATCTGAGACATGAGAGATTGAGACTAAAGGGTCACCATGAGTTTGAGGCCAGCCTGAGTTCCATAGTGAGACTCTGCCAATGAACGAAATGAGACAAAACAAAACTGTGTTTGGACTGTACTACAGAACTCTTGTCTCAAAAAAACAAGCCGGGTTTGGTGGCACAGCACCCCAGGAGGCTGAGGCAAGGAGGATTGCTGTGTTTCAGGCCAGCCTGGAGTATAACATGAGACCCTGTCTCAGTAAACCCCCCCATTCCCAACAAACACACACGTGTATGCACACACAAGCTCACACGCACACACACACACACATACAAACTCCCAAACAGAAAAATCCAAAACAAATCACAGAAAGTTCTACAGTGGATTTTTTTTTTTTTTTAAAGAACTGGCTAGCTGGGCATGGTTCCACGTTCCTATAGTTGCAGCGCTAGGAAGGCTGAGGTGGGAGGATTGAAGTGAATTTGAGACTAGCCTGGGCTACATGTGGTTCTGGCAGAATAATAATAATTAATAATAATAGTGTCTTTTGGGAGCTGAAACTTACAAAGCACTTACTACATCAAGCGTTCCACACATACTGACTAATCCTAGTATGTGGGCATGTAAGTTCCTTTTTGCAGATGGACACAAGTGAGGCTAACAGTATTAAATGAATTGTCTTAGGTCACCAAGCTAAGAGGCAGAGCCAGGATGTTTCATAAGTTATAGGTGTAGCCGGGCGTGGTAGCGCATGCCTATAATCCCAGCACTTGGGAGGCTGAGGCAGGAGGATCGCTGTGAGTTTGAGACCAGCCTGGGCTACAAAGTGAGTTCCAGGTTAGTCTCAACTACATAGTGAGACCCTGTTTCAAAAAACAAAACAAAACAAACCCATAAGTTATAGGTGTATATATTAATGTTTTTCTACTCATATTTTGCTTTGAGTACAGTGAATAAAATGAATACTGTCATGCTATATAATTTACAAAATTCTTTTTATCTGTATGTTCTCACAAGGATTTGGGGGGAGCAGGGTCTTGGTATGTGTTCTAGGCTGGCCTGGAACTCACTATATAGCCCAGGTTGGCTTCCAACTCTTCATGATCCTTCTGCCTCAGCCTCCTGAGTACTGAGATTATAGATGTACACCACAGTGCCGGGCTCATAAGAATCTTTTTCGGTTTCCTTCACTATATTTTGCTTTATTTTACTTATTTATTTATTTATTTATTTATTTTTGAGATGCGATCTCACTGTGTAGTTCAGGCTGACCTTGAACTTGGTATATAGTCCAGGCTGGCCTTGAAGTTGTGGTGACCCTCTGGCCTTTGTCTCCTGCATGCTGGGATTACAGGTATGCACCACCAGCCCTGGCTTCCTTCATTTTATTGATAAGGTGTGCAGGAAAGGTGAGAGGTGATAAATGGTAAAGCCTACGCTTAAGTTTCAGGCCTCTGATTTTGATTTCCATGCTCTGTTCCCTTGTATCACAACAGAATTTACTATTTGAGTTTAGAGTTATATCTTTAAAACTTGGCTGAGCTGGGCATGGTGGCAGATTTCTGTAATCACAGCACTTGGGAGGCTGAAGCAGCATGATCGCCATGAGTTTGAAACCAGCCTGGGCTACATAGTTCAAGTCCAGCCTGAGCTATGCTGTCAGACCCTATCTCAAAAAAAACAAAAAACCAAACCAAGGGCTGGGGATTTAGCTCAGTGGTGCCACTGCCTGCCTCACAAGCGCAAGGTCCGGAGTTTGATCCCTGGGACCAACCCCCCAAAAAAAACAACCCCCCCAAAGCCCCAACCCCAACACCACCAAAACACACAAAAGCCCCAAAACATTGGCTGAAAATCGCTTTTATTTTGCTGTATACTATCGGGTTTAAAATACTGTAGTTTATTAGGGGTATTTTATATATGAAGTGT